GTTTTCCCATTGACCTTCATGCCCTGCACCTACAAACAATAGGTGGCATTGTCGAAGGATCACCCGTACCCCGTACCCCTTCTGGATTCTGTACCTGGATGCTGTACTTGCCGTGCGAACTGATGGCTAATGGGACCTGTCCACTCAGAGATCAAGTATGGCAGGAGATCTGAATTGTGGCACCTTGGCATGTCCATGCGAGCGCTTCTGCCCGAAGGTCAGGTAACCACCTCTGGTGGATCTAGCTGAAGAAAACCAAACAAAAAGGTCAAATTGTTTCTGTGAAGGCCTCTGCGTCTCAAGCATAGAGTGAACACCTTAGCAGCAAGAATCAAATGCCACAAGGTTGTGTCATCCAGAGCCACTCGTCTCACCAAGGAAGTAGAACCAAGAAATAAGATCAGTACGTGGCTGTTGCGTTCGGCCTGCCAAGCCAAAGAAATTGAGAGTTGATAAGGCAAAACTGAAGTGTTCATGTAAGCACACATAATTATATAAGATACAATGTGTATTACATATACATATACGTTTTATTTAACCATATATCATACATATGTATCTATGTATATATATATATATTAGTGTTGTTGTCAAATTGTTTTAATATTTGATTTGAGGAGGCAATAAGTTGGCATGAATCTGCACAAAATTCGAACGCATCCTATCAAATGCCAGTCCTGCCTTCTTGAAAATGTGATAAACCAAGGTTGGTTTGGCTTCAGAGCCTGCGCCAAAAGACACACAACTCCAACGTTGCCAGTGACTCTGCCCGAGCCAGGTGCAAGTCCAAGGATGCCATTTTGTCGTTGGGAAGCAAACAGACCCGTCTCCTCAAGACTGAATTTATGACCATTGCGTTCAAACGACGCAACCACCGCAGCTACAGCTGCGTCCTTGAAACTGCACCCAAAGGTTGCAAAAATACCCTTGCCCTTGCCTCCTGCAAAGTGCTGAGTTAAATCCACCACGGTCTTTGGACACATGTCCACCTCCATCTGGACTCCCAGGATCAAACCGGAGCTGATCCTGAAACCACAGCCTGCAACAAGCTGCTGATGGAAGACTGTGACTGAACTGCCGATTCAATCTTGCCCTGCGAGTCGGTGCAAGTGCTTAGCTCGCAGCCCTTCCAATGAAGACCCCTCAAGGTACTTCTCTTTGAAAGTGCATTTGTCCTGTGGTATCAACTTTCTACACTAACATGCACGAATCGCCCGAACTGGTGGTAGCTGGCACTTTGGCTCCGAAGTGAGCTTGTCTGCTGGCACTCAAGTGCCCTTGCAGGACTCGGCGCAGGACTGGTTTCCTTTGGCTTTGGAATGGTTTGGCGTTGGATTGGTTGGGAAAAGGAGGGGGTTGAGGTGAAGGCGCAGCACCTCCTGGTGCAAAACCAATCAGGGCATCACAAAACCATGCAAAGCCACTGAACCAGGAAAAACGGTTCAAACTGGACAATGGAAAACAAAGCTGCAAAACCATTACCCAGAAGATTGGAAACCATGGAAATAGGAACCCATGGAAGCCACCGTTCAATTCATCAAAATAACGTGTTGCGAAATGATCATGTATTACTCCTGGTGTCGCTCGCTTTGAAAAACGATCCTCCTGACATGTCTTAACAAAAGCTGCTGTTTCTTTGCACTGGATGCGGGGGTCAAGTTTGCAGAGCGGATTTGGGCCTTCACTGGTTTTAAAACACTTGAGTTTCACTGCTCCGCAATAATAATGCAGTCAGGTTTGCATGAAGGTCAGAAAACCCAAAAAGGTTATATAACAAACGCATCATGTACTTTCTGCGTTGCTTGCCCAAGTCCCTCTTCCCGTCCTTGTGGCATAGACCTGGACAGACTGACCTGCACGACAACAATGAAGCAGTTCGGCTCCTGCAATGATTGCAATATGGGCGTCTGGGAAGACTCCCAAGGACCCCTGGTAAAGAAGTGATCGAACAAATAGACCAAATTTCATTGATGGGATGAGATTTGAGGGTCTTCCTATTCTAATACACACACGGATAATTGTTCGGACTCACAGATCTTGCATGCTGTTGCATCTCTGTGCATCACTGTTGTTCGTTTTGCCAATCTGTCATGTCCTGGCAATGTCGAACTGTGGATTGATGTGTTTGCCGCAAACTTTGCAACCTGCACACGTCATCTCTGTGATCCAGCTTGCCGTGTCGACCTTGGGGAACCATGTTTGAAAAAAACTGTTCGTCACACAAAGTGCACAATTTTTAGTCGTCTTTACGCCGACTTAATGCGATTAAGCATGCAGCAATCAAGGACGCATTTTGTGGCCTAGAAAATGGTCAAGCCGAATTCGGCCAAGTTTAGCGATAAGAACAAAATCAAGTACAATGCTAGTCTTGAGCGCGCCTTGGAGATCCCACCATGACCTTCAGCAAGCAGTTGCTCGGCCGCAGCCAACATGCCAAGCACGCCAATCACAAGACCCAGTGTTGCGGTGCCTCTGTGTAATAAACACCTTCCTCCAGGCTTCCTCGAAGCCTCACCAGGAGAACTCACAACTTCCTCCGCCCCTTGTAAGACACACTACCTATTACTAGTACAAAGCTAACGGGAACTAACCATGCACTCTGTCACGTCCTAAACGACCATGATCACCCCTTCGAAATAGCATATGTCAGCTTTGCGTGCAAACTGCAGCTACCTCGTGCTTCGGTAAATGTGTCTGATGTACTTGTCGTTTCTACTTTCGGCTGGAGCACCCCGTTTCAGAGAGGTGGGCCGTTCGAATCTTGGTTGCTACCTCGTCTTGTTGACATACGGTAGCGGAGCCCTTTCTAGGGGTTCCCTGTCACTCCGCTACACCGCTACTTGTCACTACGCCCTCACATGCACTATTCCCACTCTGTGATCGACTTCAGTTTTCCACCTAACTCCCACACCTCTTGGCCGAGCTCCATCCAGCGTTGCACTACTCCATTGCTCATGGAGTTCGAGGATTCACCTTCTTGTTTGACGGCTTCTTGGTGATCCTCCTAACACTCAAGAAGGGCATAATCGACCCAGGATTCATTCAATCCCTCTGTCCGGCGGCACCTTGACGACCATATACCGCGAATGGTGGAGGTGGAAACTTTCCGAGGACTTCAACCTCGATCACGCTGAGCGTGAAAAGCTCTGGGCGAGATTGCTCAACTCAAGCACGTAGAAACACCCGGAGTTCGACCTCCAGGACAAGCGCAAGGCCTCTTGGCCATTGCACGCCTCACCCGAGAATCGCCTTGAATACAGCAAGCCCTCTTCGCCGTCCTTGGGCGAAACTCCGGGGTGGAGGGAAACCTTCTCCGCGACGGTTGGCAAGGGGGACAGCTCTCTACAAAAGGCAGGCGATACTGTCCTGAAGACTCACATGACTCACAAGAACTTGAACGCTGGCACGACGCCTGCGCAGGCTGCCTTGCGTGAGGCGCTTTGGCCCGGAGGCCAGCTCAAGCCCAGCGACTATACATGTGTGAACACTACGTCATTCACTCTGTTTATGAGTGAGGACTCCCTTGTTGGCCCTGGCTTCCTTCGTTCAACTCAAGGCAGTTCCGGAATAGTTCGAGTGAACCTACTTCGAACATGCTCAGGCAGACGTTTGCCCCCACTTCTACAAGATTGGACGCTGGATGGGGAAGAAAAGGTTTCGGTCAAGATGGGACTGCGTCGACACCCGCTTCCGAGTGATGGAAGGTCGACGTGAAAGCCGTCAGCTGACAGAAATCCAGCTGAAGAGTGACCGCCGAGTCAACAGTCAACAACTTGCAGGACGGGATTCTGGTGAGGAAACTAGAGCACTTCCTCAAGCCCGACATGTGCAGCGGCGTCAGGCTTGCCACTTTACACCACATCAACTCACACGCGCCCTTGTTTGGCACAAGGCTCTACCAAGGCTGTGAGAGCTCTCAAGCTGACCATTGCCACCTGGCATGCGAAACGTGGTGTGTTGAGGGCTGAACTTAGCTCTGACACTACCACCAGTGTCAGCTTTGCATGCAAATTGGAGCCACCTCATGCTTCGGTATATGGGTCTCATGTAATCCTTGCCATTACCACTTTCGGGTGGAACACTCCGTTTCAGAGCGATGGGCCGATCAAATGAATCTTGACACCATAGGCGCTTCAGATAAAGGGCCAACTTTGGGCGCGGTTCTTGACCTTTCATTCGCGGAACTTCGCGTCTTCGACTTCACAGGACTACAGGTTGCTACCATCTCGTATATCAATCTACAGTATATACAGTACAAGCCTATGTTCTTAGAAGAAAAGGAAAGTCTCAAACTCCTCGGACACCTTTCATATTGACTAAGTACCCTGACTCTGCAAGTCGCACCAAAGCGTTCATCCTTCTCCATGGCCATCGAGGTATCAACGGTATCAGAGATAGGCTGAGGTGTCAAAGCGTCTGGCTGCTGTGACCTTGTTCTTTCGCATGCGAAGGTCATCGAAGATCTGTTTAAGTCACGAATGGCTTGCAAGTCTCCTCGGAAGGTCTCGGCAAACCGCATGCTCAGCAATCTTTGTGCATGAAAGCAATCCCTGAAATAGAACGAAAGGCTCCAATGTGACCAGCAGGCACTAGCGTGCTCCATGTCGGCCTTCAGGGGTTGGTCTAGCTACGAAAGGTGAAACCATGCAGGCTTGGAGCTTGCTGCTCACCAAGGACTGAGAAGAAAGGGTACATCCTTGTGTGAAGGGGTTCCTAGTACAAATACTGTAAAGTATCTCAGTGCCACAAGTCTCCAAGTGCCTTGGTCTTGCAGCTTCTTTGGCTTCTACAAGCCGCGCTTTCTGCAATGCAATCACTGCCCATTTGAACTTGCTCAAAAAAGGCCCACATGCCAGCTAAACTTTTGACGCCTCACGCGATCCTCCCCTCGAGATCCTGTGCTGGGCTGGAGGAATGAAGGGTTGGTGCAGGCTGGCAGGGACTGGGTAGCAATGTTCAAATACGAAGAGGCGGCTCAAGAAAACCTGAAGAGCCTGAAACCGGTCACATGGTCACAAGCCTGGCAAAGGTTCTGGCATGCAAGATCAATCCTTCTCAGCAGGACACGTGAAACCTATCTTGAGAATGGTAATAACGCTAATACGTCTAGTCTGGCAAACCATGCCACAGCAGTATCTCTCCCCTGCAGTCGCACACTCAGGATTTGTCGCAGGGGGAAGCACTGTCACAACTGCGTCCAACCTTGCCAAGCTGCCTAGCTGCTTATCTGGTGCGATGTACCCGTGGCTTTGTTGATTATGTTCAGGTTTTCCGTTTCCTGGAAGCGTCCTGGATGTGCTTCGAGACAAGCTCCCACTGGACTGGCGCCTGGGAAGCAGCTAGCGTCAGCAGTCCGTCTCCATTTCAAATTTTCAACGTCGATTAAGGTCTGAGCCCTGCTGACATCTTCGACCTGTGGTTTGCGCGTGTGAGCGTGCGCGCATGTGCACATGTGTGCATGCGCGCGTGTGTGTGCGTGGGCGCCTGTGCGCATGTGCGCGTGTGCGTTCGTGCGCGCGTGTGCGCGTGAGCGCGCGTGTGTGTGTGTGTGTGTGTGTGTGTGTCAAAGCCTGTTTCTAAGGCTGCACACATTGTAAATGAAGTCATTCTAACATAAATGTTTAAAAGCTGCACGTTTCTCGTGATATGAGTCAGGGACGCCTGACTCGCGTACCTGCATTTTTCAACTTTCTCCGTCTCACCCGTGTTAAACAATACAGTTGAAGCGGACTCCTCCACCTTGTTTGCAAGTCAAAGTCTAATTTGCAGCTGGTATCGTATTCACTAAAGTGGAACGTCTGTTGTGTGATCCGTACGGGGCGCGTTGAGCATAGACCCTCAAGGGGGAATGGTCAGTGATCACTCGTCTTGCTTGACGCCTCCCTGATGAGCTGACTGTTCGAGATTGCTGACCAAACGCTGCAGAGCTTACTGCCGACAACTCATAAAATGACATACCCTGCGGCTAAGTAATCACTCTGTAGATTGACATGTCACGCGGCTAAGTGTTCACTCATGCGGCTAAGTATTGACGTGGTCTTTCTTTCTCTCTTGCTGCGTCTCTTTGTTTTCTAGGTTTTCTCTCATTGCTAGAGGCTTTTCATGTGTAACTCTCAGGTCTTTTCCATGTCACGCTGCTAAGAATCACTTGTACGTTTCACACTGAGTAATTCACGCATGGTCTTGCTTTCTCTCTTTCCAGGGTTCTTTCGTTCCCTTCCAGGTTTTTGTTCGTTGCTACAGGCTTTTTAGGTGACGGTGGCAGGTTAACTTCTTCAGTCAAGGGAGCGCCGATTCGGCTGATTGTGTGTGTGTGCCACCTCCTGTCCCCAAGGAGAACGACCGCACCATCTAGGTAGAATTCCCCTTTCAACCTTTAATCCGTTACCGTGCACAGACCTGCAAGGGGACACAGCATTGCACTGGGACTGTCCCCAATGAACCAGTGAAATGGGATATCCAGCTTGGCCAGCTGGATGTACCTGCACTCTTGCTTTCGAACGGTCTAAATAAGTAGAGCTTAAGCTGTCTCCTTCCGTGCTTTGCAGCAAAGGGCCAATGCAATAACTAACTTGTGGTTCTAAGTAGAGCTTAAGCTGTCTCCTTCCGTGCTTTGCAGCAAACCGCTAATGCAGTAAAAAACTTGCGGTTCTAAGTGGAGCTTAAGCTGTCTCCTTCCGTCTTTTGCAGAAAAGTGCTAATGCAGTAACTAGCTTCCGGGAATTCTCAAGCTGATAGAGCTCTTGTGAGCACGGATCGACGTGTGTGTGTGTGTCCCACCCTGTAACCAAGGGTCTTTCTGAGCAGGGGGTCAAGGCGCGATATCACCAACCTTGACCAATGAAGCTGGGTGACATCGCGGGATGTGGGACTTGGCCAGTCCCATGTACCTGCTTTGTTTACATTCCTTTTTATCTACTTGGAGCGATTCACTTATCTCGCTCCCCTATGGAACCTACCTCCCTATGCATGCCGTTAATTCAGGACTGCTAAGTATTTATTAAGACACCTACAAGTACGCTGACCTACCACCTTTCCGTTAGTGCTAAGTATTCAGTAACTAGAGTGCTAAGTATTCAGTAACTAGCTGCTGTGGATTATCTTACTGAATGAACCTTGTCGAAGTGTGTTTCATTGGTGTGTTTCATGCAATCCTACGTTATCTTCTATCAATCATATCCTGAGAGGCCACGGCTCTTCTCGAGCGTCATTGCCAACACCCACATTCGATTGGCTCCTATCAAACAACGCAAAGGGGGAAGCACTCCAACAAAACTGAAAGAACAAAGTCATTGTCTCTGTCCTTTGCCGTTTGTTCTCGCGCTTCTTCTTCTGCAGTTCCCGGGCATGTGTGCGCATAAACCTGCGTCTCAATCACTTGAGGTGAGACGCTCGTCCATAGTCCATAGGACGAAGATGCCAGGCACGAAAGATCTGGGGACCCAGCAAGTCGATCTGCTGGAGCTTGATCTCTGAAATGTAGTTGCTGTGGATCGTAAACTGCGAAAGTTCGCAGCGCGTTCGTTTCATTAAGATCATAAGTGATTTGTCGTAATGCAGTTCGTTTTAGTTGAATGCCACAGTTGCAAAGGAACATAAAGGAACTGAAGCAAAGAAAAGAGAACACTCCGAAAAGAACAGCTGATGAAAAGGAGAGGCACAGTAGTCGAGCTGCAAGTAGTCCGCACTCCGGGCGCTCTCTGAGTGCCTCCGTCATGGATAGGTGCTCAGCCTTTTGCAGCAGTTTCAGGAAAACCTTGGCGAAGAAAAGCTGGAAATTAAAAAAAAGGTGCCAGAAATGAAGAATACAACCAAATCCCAAACACTCGGAGTTCAATCAAACATGAATCAACTTCAATGACCACAAGTTGGCCTCTGCAGCTTCATCTGTGAAGTAGTTGTCCTGGACAAGCCAGCGAGATCTGTGTGGATCTCTGCTGTTTTCATCTTTAAGCTCCTTGAGCTGTTTTCACTACTGTGGTTTCAGGCCTCGAAGCTCAGCTTTGTGATGAATTTGTTTCGCAGAATAACCTGCGCGGCCAGCATATGACGAATATGACTTATTCATATGAATTGAGCACCAGAATGCTGTACTCACGCAGCAAACCCCATCCATCAAGCAATCATTCAATTCAGTTGATGAAAACCGAACACACAGCAAGGAAGCAAAACAACAAAATGGAATCATGTCATCAATCCAGGGCATCAAAGAGAGCTCTCTCTCTCTCTCTCCTTCATATCTCTAACTCTCTCTCTGTCTCTCTCTCCCTCCCTACTGCCTCTGCTATGAATTCCATCGCATCGTCTCGGATGCTGTTACCTTGCATTCTATGCTTCAAAATCATAAGATTCTTCATCAATCAAGTATTTCACCTCATCTCCCAACCCTGATCCAAACATTTGGCATTGAACCTTTTTAGCAACTAGTTCATACATTTGTCATTTTGTGTGCGCACGTTCCTTGAAAGTTGAAAGGCTTCTCAAAGACTGCCAGCTGTACGACCAAGATCAAGCTCTTGAAGATGTGAATTCAGAAGCAAAGCCTGAAGGTGCAAAGGCTGTGAGTCGGCTAGTGACTACCGCGAGTACAGCAAAGTGCACAAGTGTATTCCTTCACAAAGTGAATGCCATCGGCACTGCCAAGCGCTGTTCCTCAAAGATGTGCTTCACAGCATCGTCCCGCAGGCGGTTAACCTTGAATCAAACGCAGTGGACACGCTATTGGGAAGACACAGCAAAACCACTAGTAGTGACCCCCGTGTTACGTTGCAAAAGAACTCCGCTTGGCAAGCAAGCCTGTCGATTAGTTGTAGCTATACTTGCTTGTCCCGCTGGTCGTTCCCTGTAAAGAGAGTTAGTTTTGAGCACATTGCTCTGAGGTCCAAAGACCGCAATCTGCAGTCCCTTCTCAGTGCCTGGTCGCGAAAAGGATGCCAAGAGTCACGTCCAAAAATCAAAAAACAAGGATGTTTAACCTGACTTACATGCGTTATTCATGTGTTGTTCATATATAGCAATCACCTGTTTGTTCCTACAGAAGCAGCAACAACCGGAGAGGCGACTTGATCTGACCCCTGACGCGTCTACTCGAGTGTACCGAGTTTTCTGCCTTTCTGCGCCTCTAAACTAGCATGTGAAGCAAGTTGCAACACAAAAACAGGTCACACAATTTTTGGTGGGCGGCTTGATCAATACAGAAAGGAAAAAACACATGAGTTCCAGCAACTCGTTAGTTTTGATTGGCCGTGCAGCGGCAGCTTCCCTGACCAAAACGTTTACCTGACAAGGCAAGTCCTGCAAAGCCACGAGTCCTGCTACAAAAAGACTCCCACAGCCTAAACAACCAGCAACTGGCCCCAAGTGCCAAAGGTGCCCCAGGCCACGAAGATGCAATGGGCGATGGGGGGCGTGTTAATCAACCAGACTGTCTATCTTGGCATGGGGAGGGACCTTTTGTGCTTGGTCCATGAGCGCGACTTGGCAGGCTGCTGCGCAGCACGCAGCTAGCACGTCCCCAGGTCTTTCAGCAGGTCTTGGAACCCGCCTTGAGGTACTGCCAAGATTATATATACATACATATTTAAGTTTAAGTTATATATAATGTAGACTGACCCCCATGGCAACATAGACAGTCAGTGGCAAGATCAAAACGCCAGTGGGGAGTGGAGCCCGAAGTCCAGATGCACCAAACTGTATCATGTAACTATGTGCATATTTTTCCCCAGCCGGTATGACGGGGGAGCGTGCCAGAGGAAGTTCAACTGACCAAGTTCGGGGCCATGTTTGTTGCCGGCATGGTCAACCGTTGGCAGTGCCCGAGCAGCTTTGACAATTTTTTGCTGCATGGGCGGGCCTTGGTGTGTTCAGAAGTGCACCAGCATTAGCACGGCAGCAGAACCTGCAAGACCAAAACGCTGATCCAGAACCGGCACCTGCACTAGCATCAGCACGGCAGCAGCGCCCGCAAAACCAAAACACCGATCCAGAGCCACACCGTTGCGAAGTTGGAGCCCCTATAGCCTGCAGCTACTTGGGGAAAACAAAGCATGGGCCTGTTGACATGCGACTGGCTGGAACAAGAATGCACGCAGCCTGCAGAGCCAGCTTACGGCACCTCCAAAACGCTCAACCAGCTGACACCAACACCGGTGCGCTTTGCCAGCTGACAACACCGGCAGCGGCACCAGCACCCGACCAGCGCCGCCGCCCGTCTTAAACGTGCGCTCAGCCAGCTCACAGCACCAGCACCCAGGACCACAACACCAGCACCAGCACCGACACCCTTTCGAATGCGCGCGCAGCCAGCTCATTCTTATTTGCAGTAAGAACCCCCTAGCCATCCCTATTTGGCGAATAACAACGTATGATCTCGCGCGTATAAGTTTACGCGCGCAAAAGTATGCGCGCAAACAGCAAAGCCCGTAAGTGTCATTGGCCCAAGGCCAAGCAGTATCCAGCGCCACTATTGACTTTGTAGCATTCTTGAAGCAATGACCTGTAGAACGATAAGACCGTATGATCTTGCGCGTATCGGTTTATGCGCGCAAAAGTATGCGCACAAGCAGCAAAGCCCGGAGGCTTCACTCGCCCAAGGCCAAGCAGTATCCAGCGCGACTATTGCGTGTGTGAGTAGTGCTGAAACAATGGTCGGTGAGAGCCTGACATTGCGCATAGAACATTATACGTACAAAAGTATGCGCGCAAACAATACAGCCCTTGACACAGCTGTCGGCCAAAACAGAACCTGAAGAACGTAAATACCCCACAGCAAAGAACGCTCAAGCGACAACACCGTAGGATGTTGCGTGCATAAGTTCATGCGGCCCGTGACGGCTGGCACTTCACTGTCAGAAGCGGCGGTTGGTCGCCCTTCACTGCTACAAGCGGCGGTTTGTCACCCTTCACTCTCAGAAGCGGCGGCTGTTATCACTTCACTGTCAGAAGCAAGCGCTAGCACCAAGCACCGGAACGCCAGCTCACGGCGCTCAGCACCAGACCGGTACGGAGCACCCCAGCACCCAGCACCACCCGGCACCCAGCACCCGGCATCCTGTCTCCACCACACGCGCTGCCAGCGCCCAGCCTGTCTTCACCACGTGAGCTCACAGCACCCAGCGCCAGCGCCACAGCCCGCACCAGTATACCCGCCACCACACGCACCAGTGGCCAGCAACGGCACCCGCCGGCACCTGTCTTCACCACGCGCACACCCAGCTCACAGCACCCAGCGCCAGCACCACAGCCCGCACCAGCGCCCGGCACCCTGTCTCCATGCGCACAGCCAACACCCAGCAACGGCAACCAGCACCCGGCACCCTGTCTCGAAAGCGCGCGCAGCCAGCTCGTTGTCATTTGAAGTAAGAACCCATATATCCGTCGCTATCTGGGGAACAAATGATTGCACCAGCATAGACCCAGATAGCTAGTAGGCAGAATCCCACGAGTCATGCGACTGGCTGATGTACGCAGCCTACGCAGCCAGCTTGGGGCACCTCCACAGTGCGCACAACCAGCTGACACCAGCGCCACTGCGCTCTGCCACCTGACAACACCGGCAGCGGCGCCAGCGCCCAACCAGCGCCACCGCCCGTGTCAAACATGTTAAATGCACGCTCAGCCAGCTCGCAGCACCAGCACCCAGGACCACAACACCAGCGCCAGCACCTGTCTCCACCGCGTGCACACCAGCTCACAGCGCCAGCACCAGCACCGGCCGCCGGGGCAACCTGTCTCGAAAGCGCGCACGGGCAACTCATTGTTATTTGCAGTAAGAACCCCATAGCTTCGCTATCTGATGAAAAAACATTTCTGTCTTGGGGAAGGGGGGGTCCTGCCAAGAGTCTCTGAGAATTGGTTTTATTGATTTTTTGGTTTAGGCGCGGCTTTGTGTCAATTATCTAAAATGTACACCAGCATAGACCCAGATAGCTAGTCCCACGACCTGTTGACACGCGACTGGCTGGAACAAGAATGCACACAGCCTGCACAGCCGGCTTGCGGCACCTCCACAGCGCGCGGAATCAGCTGACACCAGCGCCGGTGCGCTTTGCCAGCTGACAACACCGGCAGCGGCGCCAGCGCCCGCGCCGCCGCCCGTCCGCGCGCTCAGCCAGCTCACAGCACCAGCGCCCAGGACCACAGCACCGACACCCTTTCGAAAGCGCACGCAGCCAGCTCATTCTTATTTGCAGCAAGAACCCCGTAGCTATCCCTATTTGGGGAATAACAACGTATGATCTTGCACGTATAAGTTTACCCGCGCAAAAGTATGCGCGCAAACAGCAAAGCCTATAAGTGGCATTGGCCCAAGGCCAAGCAGTATCCAGCGCCACTGTAGCACGCTTGAAGCAACGATCTGCAGAACGATAAGGCCGTATGATCTTGCGCGTACAAGTTTACGCGCGCAAAAGTATGCGCACAAACGGCAAAGCCCGTAGGCTTCACTCGCCCAAGGCCAAGCAGTATCCAGCACGACTATTGTGTGTGTGGCATGCTGAAACATGCTGAAACAATGGTCGGTTGAGAGCCTGACGTTGCGCATAGAACATTATACGTACAAAAGTGTGCGCGCAAACAGTACAGCCCTTGACACAGCTGTCGCCCAAAACAAAACCTGAAGAGCGTAAATACCCCACAGCGCTAATAGACAAAGAACGCTCAAGCGACAACGTAGGATGTTGCGTGCATAAGTTCATGCGGCCCATGGCTGCTGGCACTTGATTGTCAGAAGCGGTACTTGGTCGCCCTTCACTGCTGCAAGCAGCGGTCTGTCACTCTTCACTGTCAGAGCCGGCGCTTTTTGTAACTTCACTGTCAGAAGCAGGCACCAGCACCACGCGCCGGCACGCCAGCTCACGGCCCAGCGCCAGCACCGGTGTACCCAGCACCCAGCACCCGCACCCAGCACCCGGCACCCTGTCTCCACCACGCGCAAAGCCAGCACCCAGCACCGGCGCCTAGTCTCCACCATGCGCACTGCCAGCTCACAGCGCCGGCGCCGGCGCGCGCTGTCTCTACCAACTGGCACCGTGTCTCCAGCACCAGCACCACAGCCCGCACCAGCACCCGGCACCGGCGCCCAGCAGTGGCATCCTGTTTCCACCACACGCACAGCCAGCGCCAGCACAGCACGTGCACAGCCAGCTCAAAGCACCAGCACCCGCACCGGCACCCGGCACCCAGCACCAGCACCAGCAACCTCTCTCCCCCACGTGCACAGCCAGCTCGCACCAGCACCAGCACCGGCACCCAGCACCAGCACCGGCACCAGCAACCTGTCTCCACCACGTGCACCACGTGCACAGCCAGCTCACAGCACCAGCACCAGCACCCACCCGGCACCCAGCACCAGCACCCTCCACAGCCAGCTCACAGCACCAGCACCGGCACCGGCACCCAGCACCAGCACCGGCACCAGCAACCTGTCCCCACCGCGTGCACAGCCAGCTCACAGCACCAGCACCGGCACCCAGCACCAGCACCGGCGCCAGCAACCTGTCTCCACCACGTGCACAGCCAGCTCACAGCACCAGCACCAGTACCGGCACCCAGCACCAGCAACCTGTCTGGCGCGCATGGGCAACTCATTGTTATTTGAAGTAAGAACCCCATAGCTTCGCTATCTGGGGAAAAATATCAGTGCAATTCCATACAACTTGAGCCTAGATTCATGCAGGTGTCCAAAACACAGGCCCCATGGCGTGCCCTTCTGTACAATACATTAATATAAAGTACGTTCCTGTCTGTATCTACTTCAACACTTCGCGGATATATACTCCAAAAGCATCCAAAAGCGCCTTTAGGTCAATTCCAAATGCCCCTGGATGCCCAATGCTCTTCCAGGCCCAAACTAAATGAGTTACTGCAACTTGTGTTACAAGTTTGATTAAAGTTAAGTTAAAGTTGTACTGATTCATGCATTGCTTGTGTGTGCGCATTGTTTGTTAACACTCGAAGGACAGTTCAACCATTTCACTCGAAACATGCTGCCAACCCTTGAGTTGCCAGTACAACCAACACAGGAAATCACCTCTTGAATCGCATGAAGCTGGTCTAATTATGTCCCGATTCGAGGCAAATGTTCAAAAGTGCTTCAAGTTTTGCACAAAAAGGCCTCTTGACTCCAGAAAGGGACCTGCCTTGGCCAATGCCTTCCCACCAGCACTTGTAATTCCGTTGGCCCGGATGCCTGTACACTTGCCGGTGCGAAACGCCAAACACTGCATCCTTCCATTCTGCAGTAGAACCGGCTATGAGGCTGCAACTCAACTTGGACACCTTGTTGTAGTCGCACAATGCCTCCGGGCTGGATGCAGAATATCTGAATATCTGTCCAAATTACATGGCAAGCTAAATCAAAACTGGGTGATATGCTTCATGGATGCTCATAGTTGCTGCTTCTGAGTTTCTAGCTGTGGCAACTGCAACTGCCCCTTGATCCCCAATCTCATTCAAGCCTCAGCAGACATGTTGGAGCTGATAGACGCTGAATGTGCTTCAAACGATGTGATGTACACGACTGTGGCAGTTGCATTCAGCTTCGCACCAAGATCCAAATGCCTCAAGGTAGGGCATTTGGCAATGGCATTCCCAAGAGCCACTCCTCCGTCCTTCATAGTCTGAGAAACTGGGGGAAGCATGTCATGGCAGTAATGTTGAATTCGTCACACCAGTCCTTGTAAATGTGATTGTCGAAGAGTCTCAGCTCTTTCAACGTGCGCGAAGTGGACACAAACCTGATTTTAGAAACAAAAGAAAGTCTATGCTGGGGTGCTTCGATCTGAAAAAAGGTACACACTCGGCTAAAGCGCAGGCTCCAATATCCTCAGAGGTTTGATTCAAATATCAGGCCGCACTTGAGAGCCGGGAAACGAAAGCGATGACAACGACGAATGTGAGAACACCTTAAAAAGCCCCTTTTGGGTGGGGGGAGGCCCCCCCCTTTAATCAATATCGCTTCAATTCATTAAGGCGGGGGGGGGTCCTATTGATTCGCTTCACACGAAGTGGGGGGGCGGGGGGGGGGGCCGTTTGTAGTGATTCTTAAATTGATCCCTTCGAGTTTGACCCATCTAATAGTAAACTAGAGCTTCAGCTGACCTCCTTCGGAGATTGCTTTCGTGAAATGGTGACTGGTGGGACACCAAGTCAGTCCTTTGCATGCTAAAAAGAAACTTTCACAATCTCAGGTGTGGACGCCAATGCCATTCGCGTCAAGGGTCAGCGCTTCAAGCACCCCCTGGACGCATGCTTCAACTGCACAGTGTCTACATGATTCCGCTTTGTTCACAACCGTCTAATTAAAGCGGATGGTTCAAACGACGTCTATGGTGAACTTGCTCCCAGCCTGCTCCGCTAAGGCTTGTGCAACAGCACAGGTTCCGACATCCGAAAGGTTGTTGTGCTGCAAGTTGAGGTCCAGCAAAACTGATCGAGCAAAGGTGCTGCTTTGCCATATGAACAGATGCGTGTGTGCCATTCGGTGCGATAAACCACATGATCACATGTGTCAATGACCATATGTGATTGCGTGTTTGTCTCGAATTCCACACTTTCCAGTTACAAGTTCAAAAACTACTCCTGCCTCTATTTGTCAGCAGCCCTCTGGAAAGGATGATTCCCTCCTCTGGTCCAAAACATACGTGCCTGGAACGTCACGCAGAGGTAAGCTCAAATCAGATTTGTATATATATATATATGTGTGTGAATACAAATCTAGCTGTGCACGCCTGAAGTCCAGTTTGGTAACATGACCTCGGGGCAGAACTTGCCTCGACTCGACCATAGCCATGGATCTACATTATTATGGCATCCTCCACAAGTGCTTTAAGCATCCAAGGTCATGACGATTTGAGCCAATGTCATTTGAGAGTGCCAGCAGGCCAGAGCGGGAAATATTGGCCAGCGATGCCTACTCGAAGTTGTGAGCGCTGCAGAATACATGTTTAAACAACAAAACAATGCCCTCGTTGCAAATGAAGCTGTTGCTGGTCCATAGGTGTTTCAATGTACACCCTGTTTAACCGTTCAGAGAGTGAATCCCATGAGGCCAAGAAACGACATTCTCGAGACAGACGGACAGCGGGAGGAAGAGAGAGGAAGAGAGGATGGATTGCAAGGTAAAAGAAATGCAGGCCGGCCAGTTTTAACAATTGAATTGGATATACAAATATATTTAAAACATAGAACATTAAAAATATTCTGTATAAACGTATGATTTTGGACTACAGAGACTCTCAGGAAACAAACAAGAGTCTGTCGTTTGACGGCGCCTCTTCGATGTCCTCATTGATACGAACGTTCAGCCTCACAACCTGGCGTGCAACATTGCCCCCTTCCGATGCCCATGCCACACTTCTGCCCTGCCCAGTGCAAAAATAGCCTTCGGAGAAAAGCCGCGAGCCAATTGTGGCTTGTCCTCCCAACAGTGGAGGCATCCGAATCTGGCTCCCAGGGAAAGTATTGAAGATGTCAATGGATAGGGACTACTACATGTACCATTGGTCAAGGCCTGCCAAAGGGACCATGATTTGCACGTTGCACTGCTTTTGTTTTTCACACCCTGTCCTTCTTCGGGAACAGCACAATCGGCATCTATGCTGTCTATGCTGGTGACATCAGCGCAATGCCACTTCGAGTGTAGAGAAAACAACAACGAGGCAGCAAGAAAGCCGATGATGTGAAGGGTCGGCAGAGTCTAGTTTTGCCGGGACATGCTTGACGTCAACTTTTGCCGTCTTCCTTAACAACCCAAACAATAGCTTCCATTTCTCTGCATGCTCCCGAAAAGCTAATGGGTGATGGCAATGGTAGGAGCCAAGTTGAGCCAAGTAGGAGTAGTACTTGGTGCATGGCCTCCAAAGTCAGCACTGGTACTGCGCTGCGAAGAGCCGAAGAAGCAAGAACCACTGAGATTTTGCTGTTGCGTCACCACAATAATTGTCTACGTATGCGCTAAATCATGGGGCATTGCGGCATTCCGTGCTTTGCTGCATCATGCCAGCTACATTTTCAGAAATCGGTTTGCTGTTCGCAATGCGTTGGGCAGTGCGACGATTGCGTTGCTGAGAGAGCAAGAACTTGCTGTCCTCTCAAAACTTTGATCTATGACACACAACTAGAGGTGGCTGGCCAAAAAGAAAGCCAGCAGCAATGAATGATTGAAGATACAAGTTCCACCAAATGATGGGGCCATGTCCACTCGAGGCTGTATGCCCGAAATCGTGGCCGGACATTGCACCGTCCGTCATGGGCTGGGCCTCAGCAGTGTGCCAAACAGTTCAAGGCACGGCGCTAACTACAACACGTTCCTTGGCACACCCACTTTTCTCAAATGTCTTTCCTCATTAGCTTGCTGGTTGTGTTGACACTGCAGCTTCTTCAAGGATACTGCAATGAAGATAGTGGCGATGTCGCTCCAGATGTGTCTGGTGATCCCTTGGAAAGAAACACAATCCAAACACACCAGGGTACAAGTAGCAGAACCTATTCGCGGGCCGAAAGCCGGCCCAAGGCCGACACAGGGAGGCACAGGCGATTTCCCCCAACTTCGTCCTGAAATGGATTGGATTTGGGCATCCATATGCAGTCAGCACCAAACTTCTGGCCTCAAGAAGCTGCAAAAAAAGCGTCTCGTTGCTGGCTGCCTGGCGACAAACCACAAACCACTATGACTTCCAAAATCGACTCCCCACACAAAGAGCAACTCTTGCAATTTCTCGCTGTCGGTGCCTCCTGAGACACGGTCAAAGCCCTTGCTACCTGACATGACACAACTGTATACGGCAGTGAGGTGCAAAACAAACATGAAAATTATACCAGCGTAGACCCCAAACAGAGCAATGTTCAAAAATGAGATCTCCGAACAATATGGCCAGCAGTATTTCCTAGAGGAAGAAAACTATAGTCCACCATGTAGACGCACATACAAGATTCGAAGGGAAAGCAATAAAATTATGTTTTTCATTGACTTTACAATGGGACGCCGTACAAGGGCTAAAATTAATCGGCCCAGCATCCAGCCAAGCCCGGGGATACAAAGCATCCAGACAGGCCATGGGAAACAAGTGGAAGACAAGTGAGCTTACTGGGAGCCAAGTCGAGACGTGTGGGAGACAAGTGTGAAATCATGCGGCCAGAGCACTCAGAGCATCC